AGTTAATAATGTCATTAGTTTTACCATCAGTTCAAGCCCGAAAGGGCAACAGAGTCGCGTGACAGACACAGTGATGATGCAGTACACAAGCCGTGGTTAAGACAGCTGACGTGCTATGATTTCTGACAGACAGTTCACTCTCCTGTGACGTGACCCTGTTCCCCTCACACGCACACACACAACGCGTTACTCTGCGCTGCGCAAAACTCTGCATTTGAACAGTCAATAGCAAATACTTAAACTAATAACAAAACATACTTACAGTCGCTGATTCAGAAGCGCCAGATTGTCATAGCAAAGTCGTAATTGAATTGATTTAGTTTAGTTTTAGTTTTAGTTTAGTTTGTCGTCCATAAAATGTGTTGCACAAATTCGAACATCTGTGTTGTGCTGTTCTGTTGTAAATAAATCTTAACCAATGATTCCTAATTGCATCTACTTCCGGAAGGCCAAATAAAGTGCTTTTTCTTTCACACTGAAACACAGCGTCTCCCTGACATGGCTGCTTCAACACGACTGCTGTTCCTGAAACCACGCCTTCTTTCGTTGCGTGCACATTTGGGTGGCATTATGCTAATATTTCCACATAGTGAGGTAGATATGTTCTAACACGTAATTATTAATTACGTGTTAGAACGAGCCGTTTTAGGGGGGGCGTGGCTGACTCTTAAATTTTATAAAGAATATCTCTTTGGATTTGAGACTTTAGTCTTTGCAACTTTACAGATCTTCTTTATGCACCAAGAGCTTGTAACACTCTAAAGAGAAAGGAAAACTTGAAATCGCATCATATGACCCCTTTAAGTTGAATTTTTTGAAAGCTGCAATAGACGCGAGATGTGAATGCAAGTCAAACATGTCCGTCTTGCACGTTCACGAAGAAAAACATTGGAAGTAGTGCAGTAGAATGGAAAAAAATGCATTATTTGTGAACGGACTCTTAGGCCCAATCCCAATTCTACCCCTTAGCCCTTCCCCTTTCCCCTACCCCTCCGTTTCGCGCATTCATGTGAAGGGGTAGGGGGGTCTCAATTCTCTTTTGGTTGGAGGGATAGAGGTAAGGGGAAGGGCCAGACAGCCCTTCAAACGAAGATTTTTCGGGACCACACTTCAAACGAAGGGGTATGAATTATCTCAGCGTAAACCAGCTTCAGGGGCAACATGGCTGCCCGAGCGAACAAAAAGACACATAAATGTAAGCATTTTTGGCATTAATAAAGATTATAACAAAAAGTAATCATTAGTTTTATGTTACATTCAATCATGAGTTCATATTTATGGTCAATGTTACTCATAGACATGTTTGCAAAAAATCGCTAATATTTGCTAACTAACGTCATATCGTTATAGACTGCACGATAGTGCCACAACATATTTTCATGTCTGATCAGGGCGATAACCACCGTAGACATTGAGGGGGGGCTAGTCTCCCCAATAATTAGAAATCGCTAAACCCTTTTCTCAAATATTGCCAATTCGAGAGAGAGATGAAAGATGCGAGTATACGCGCGTCTGTGTGTTTCTCTTTTTAGAGAGTTTACTTCAAAAACAGCGATTTTATCCTCTTGTTCCTGGAAAATATAATGTAGCGATTCAGTATTTAAACAGTTATTAATAAAAGTCGCAGGGCAGCGTTGACAAGTTTCTTTTCTCCTGGATGTGTGAGCTGCGCGATCTCCGATATGTGTGTGTGTGAGTGTGTAAGCAGCGCATTAATATAGAACTGTAATTAAAGGCTCTAATGCACACCAGCATAGGTGTGTGTATTGTAGGAGCTAGACGACGTATGATGACGTGTGACGGCATAGTAGTGGTGTCCCAATTCTTAGGGGAATATTTTCACCCCTACCCCTTGACACTCTGTTTCAAGGGACAAGGGGAAGGGGTAGGCAGAGGGGTATAAAATAGAATTGGGATTGGGCCTTAGATTTGCTAATTTAGGCAATGAATCATCTGACAGGTACAGTCACTTAGATCAGAGGTTTTACTTTTCTTGACTATCTAAGTTTAGTTTTACTAGAAAAAACACTAAGGATGTTCTGGTGGCCCAGAGGTGAACGTGTAGAGCTTCTATCGAGTGAGCAGACAAATAAATCAAAATAGAGCATAATGGAATGAGAAAGAATGTGGGGTTCTTGAGTTTTAAAAATTCAAAAGTACTATCAATCTAGACAAAACAAGCCAGACTATCATTACCAGCATCCTCTTGAAGTCAAAGTGGTCAGATTACCTGTGACCTTCCAGAATTTCTCCCATATGATTCATGACACTTTTTTCTTCCTTCTAGTGACTTTTCAACATTACTGATGATAAACTCACATTTAATGGGTCTCAGATCGTACATTCACATCACAGAATATTCTTTCCCATTTTTCTAATTGACTGGTCTTGATGTTCTTCTTGAGCAGATATCCTCTTTATTCAGCCTGTTTCTCATATTCTCTCAGGCATAGTTTCTAAATGTTCTCTTTTCTCCTGCTCTTTCAGTCCATCACATTGACTCTGCCTCTTTCTCGGTCTGTGCACTAGATTACTCTTTAAAGTAGGTCCTGGGGAGTACCCACAACTCCCGTCTCAAGCTTTCTCTCACCGTCTCTCTCCGAAGGTTGTAAATCAGTGGCAGTGAGTAATAAGGCCTTGGTCAGCTGAATGCAGTCGGCAGTGGCGTGGCAGCGCACTCTTTGGCCTGAGGGAGACGGAGCGAAGGGCACGGCAGAAAATAGTTTGAGTGATGCCTCTGCCGGATGAGTAATGAACAGTTCAAGCAGGTCAACTCATTACACGAACGGCCGTTTAATTATTAATTACGTGCAGCAATCTATAGCGGAAAGGACACGTTGGGTATGTTTAATGTGTGTTTATGCTTCCCTCTCCTTCATCTCTGTGTGGCGTTCTGTTATTAGCATGTGTCAGTGAGTAGCTCAAGCAGAGAAGAGAAGACAAGGGAGAGGCTCCCCCCACACACACAATTAACACAATTACTTATTAATTACTCACATAGCAGTGGAAAGCGCATTTAAATGTCGGAGTTAGCATGGCCTACGGGCTTTAACTGAATGCTGAGGAGACTGATGCAAATTTGGGGATTGTTTGAGTGTCGAGTGTGGTAAAAGATTACCTCTCGTAACTCTTCCGATTTGCTAATTTAAGGAACAAATCTGCTGAGGTTTGCTAAGGTACAGCCATTCAGATCCAACAGTTTTAACACAGATGTTGTCATCTTACTTTTTAATTAGAAAAAAACAAAAACAATATGGATGGCCCTGTGGCCCTGGGAAGAATGTGTACAGCTGCTTAGTGAGCAGACAACAGTGAATTTAAAATAGCTATACAGTACACTACATAACACAGCAAAATGGGAAAGATTGTGAGATTCTTAAGATGGTAAAACTGAATTTTCAGCAGCCATTATTCCAGTCTACTGTACATGATCCTTCAGAAATGACTCTAATATGCTGATATGCTGCTCAAGAATCATTTGCAATACTTATAACTGTTCTGAAAATAATTTTCAATGTTGATAATAATAAGAAAAAGAAAAGTTTGACTTGACCAGCAGATGAAATGACTTCTGAAGAATCATGTCACAGTGAAGACTTGAGTGATGGTGAAAAATCAGCTTTGCCATCACAGGAATAAATTACATTTTAAAATATATCAACATAGAAAACAGTAATTTTACACTGTAATAATACTAATTCATAATATTACTGTTTTTACTGTATTTTATCAACAACAACAAAATTTGCCTTGGTGGGCATATATGTACATACATACCTACACACACTGCAAACAACTGCCTCAGGGCCAGTAAAGAGTACAAATCTGAGGAATCACAAGGCTGACTGGGTGAAATACTGCATAAAACTCTATATACACACCAGATTTATACCAGAAAGGTGTGTACATCAGAGAAGTGATATATAACACAAGAGTTGTATCTATTTCAAGGAATATCTGTGTTTAACTGACCCTGACCCAACTCCTCAGAGAGATAAGGGTGAGAAAATATGTCAGGGTTTAGCTGGGTGTATTTTAGCGCCTAACGGATGTCAAGGTTAATGCAACAACTCTGTGGTCCACAACCCTCAGTTGTCCAGAGCCCTGTCATGCTACATTAAACCAGCAAACTGTGTGCGCGCAAGAGAGAGACAGAATGAGAAAGAAATGCAGAGAATAAAAAAAACATATGAAGCTATTTAAAAACTTTGAGCTTTACATTTGTTTGTATGAAATGTTATTTATTTCTTAAACTGTGATTGTTTTACTGCTAGTCTGAAACAACTACAATTTGCTGCCCAACCTTCTTCAATGTATTTTCAAGTTTAGCTGAATTTCCAAATCCAGAGTTAAGCCAAATGTTCCGTTCAAGGCCTTGACATCAGCACGGCCGAGCTCTCGACAGCTCCAGCTCTTCAGAGCTCAAACCCTGAGCAGAGCTGATAATGCACCTCGCTTCATTAGGAAACAAAATATCAGCTTTCCACCCCATTAGGGACGGTTTCGTACATGGGACACAGACTCACCTCATCAACAATGCACTGCAATAACTGAAGAGGCTGTGACAGAGGGGGGTAGAAGAAAAAGAGATTAGACCCCATACAACGTCCTTACAGTGCAAGGGAAATAAAATCATTAATGCAATAAAACAGGTAGCAATACAGCTTAATCAAATGCACTCTGACTCGGGAAAAGCCATTTGATCTGTAATGTTTCCTTATTTCTAATGGCACCTAATCTGAATACAGGCTGTTAAGACAGAGCGTATTATTGTCTGGTATTAACTTCAGAGGGAGGCAACCATGCGAGGTGAGGAGAAAACTGCAAGGGGTTGTGAGAGGAGCCGCCTACATCTCTGAAAATACATGAAAAACACTTACCATTAAGGAACCCTGGTTCTTTTGAATCTGCAAGGAGAAAAAAAAGGGATTTAGGTGAGAATGAGTAAACAAGAGCAAAAACATGCAATTAGCATGTTACAGACATAATCATTGCACCAAGACATGTTTATGATCACTGGGGGAAGATCAGGAAAACCCTGATGGCAAGATATGGGCATGATGTGGTAACATCGTTTACATAATGAAAACACAGCCGCTAATAGTCTGATCCTCAATTAGGATAAGCTTCACCAAGCATTTTTTCCATTAATTTCATATCTCCTGCATTTTATTCACCTCCAGGTTTATACAGTATGTTTGACTCTAAAAGTATACTCATGATATACTTCTCAAAAAGTATCACAGTCTGGAGATTAAAAACAAAATAGTGGGTTATTGTTTTGACAGGATTTCAGGATTCATTTATTTTCATAACCATATGATAACAATAAAATACATATGGTTTCTACATAGCATTTCTGTTCGAAAGGAGAGTCCCAGTTAAAGGTAATAAAAAACATTTCAGTCTTTTTCTGCCTTGCAATTCCCACTTGCTGGATCTAAGTAATCATCTGAGACAGAGGGTTTATCTTAGTGTGCTTTCACACCTGTAGATCGATTGCTTTGTTCCGAAACAGGGATTCAAATTATTACAATGTTGCTTTTTATTCTTGGTGCGGTTCGCTTTCACACGGCAAAGTTTCTAAATGGACCAAATTTGTTAATACAAGTCACGCGCGAGTAAACTGTTGTCTTATTGGTCAAAGTTCCATGGTTTATTTTCCGGGATTCCACTTAGCTGTCACGGCTGTCATCCGTCAGGATGGAACGGCAACAGCTTCTTTTTTTTTGTAGCGCTCCTTATATTAATTTATCACTTTGAGCAGGAGTCCAGGATTCATCGGGAAAACATTTTTAAAATGCACCTACTAGGAAGAAGAGCAATAAGACGGCATTATAAAATGAAAAAGTGCGCTTTTTTATTTTGAATGGCAAATATGTGCTCACCCACAGACAGGTGGTCATTCACAGGTTCATTTTGAAGTAGTAGCAAAACAACAAAGCTAATGCTTTTCACGGAACTTACGTAATTACCCATTATACATTGTGATATAGCCTGGTTCTTTGGTCCGTTAGATCGGATTGCTTTCTCACTACAACCGAACCGCTCCAGAGTTCGTTTTCAATCGAGCCGAGACCACCTCATTCAGGCGATCTCGGACCGATTGTTTTGTCGCGGATCCAGGCACGATTGCCGTGTTCACATATGCCCAAACGAACCGAGCTAAGGGGGGAAACGCACCAGGTTCCCGAAACAACGGGCCAGGTGTGAAAGCACCCTTAGATGGAGATAGACTGAGAACTTTTTCACATACTTTGTTTGAACTGAAATATTATTTTAAGGGCAACACTGCTTACACAATCTGGCTTAACCTCCTGCCTGGACCTTATAGTTTCAACTAACAGCTAATGGTGTGAGACCACTCTGATGACATATTACGCTAGTCATTGATTCTCTCTTCTCAATTAAACATGGCCCAGCTCTCTTTAAATACCTGGAGACGCTGGACCTATAATGTAGGAACTAAATAACTTACAGCACTGGCTAAAACTGCAAAGCACAGCAATCACAGGACAATTAAAGGCATAAATATTTGTTGTATGTGCCTTTTTCCAATTAAACCATTGGAGTTAGATGAAATACTTCAATGTGATCTCCACTGAACAATCAAGACCACTTTAAACACATCACCTCGGCTCCTTTTTGAAAATGTTAAAGTGCTACCATTTAAGCAAGGTCCTAAATGGAAACTATGCTGTTCTTGTACACTGTAAAAAAAATATATATATAGGTAACACTTTAGTATAGGGACCAATCCTCACTATTAACTAGTTGCTTATTAGCATGTATATTATTACCATATTGTCTGTTTATTAGCACTTATAAAGCACATATTCAGCATGACCATATTCTACATCCCTAATCCTACCCAGTACCTAAACTTACCAACTACCTTACTAGCTATTAATAAGCAGCAAATTAGGAGTTTATTGAGGCAAAAGTCATAGTTAATTGTTTGTTAATAGCCAGAATTGGACCTTAAAATAAAGTGTGACCAAAATATCTATTTTTATTCCTTTTACAGTTTCGAAGATTTTTTAAAACAAAGATTATTTGAGAAGGTTTTTACAAAAAAATACTATTTTAGTCTTTCTGCTTCAAAATCTCACGTTTCTTTGTAATTATTTGTGAAATGTACAATTTTTGAAAGAAAACTGAGTAATTGACCCTTCGCAGAGAGTTCGACTGACAGGCAATCTGACCAATCATAACGCCAAATCTGCCATTTTTGCCCAACAAACAAACCAGGCGCGGTGGACTTGAACTTGAAAATGGTGTATATTGATATATTTCCGCAGTTAAAAAAAAGATACCTTCTGATGTTAATTCATGTTTATTTCATGTTATAATTAGTAAAGAGGATGAGATAATCGGTTCATGTGCCACTTGAACTGAGGCGCTACAGCAATCTGTCACAACACATTAAAAAGCCACAAAACGGTATTTCTTGTTTGAATTTCTTAAAAAATTTCTTACAAAATTTGAAAGCTGAGACTTTGCTTCATACCTAAAGTAGCCTGCTCTGTCTTGTCTGTTGGCGCGTTGTCAATTTTCTCATTGGTCCCCAATGTATTTTTCATTTTGTATTTTGAGAACATAATCTGTGGCGTGAGAGTGCCATGGCTTGTTGGACCTAGCAACAGTAATGAAGGGGTGCGGGTCTTTGCGAAGGGTCAATTCCTACATTAGTTTTTTTTTTTAGTTTCTCTGTTTGTAACACTCCAATTGTCTGTGCTGTTTCAGGAGCCGTTTACACAACAAGGTTTTCAGCCAAAAACGGGAAACTTTTTATGCGTTTTGACTGTTCTTTTACATGACAATGACATTTTGGGGACTGAAAAGTACAAGTTTTTGAAAAAGGCACCGTTATCGTTTCCGTGTAAACACCAAATATGGGAATCTTTGAAAACGGTGACGTCATGCGCGTGCGTAGTACGTGTTAGGTATGTAGACATGCACAGTACGTGTCGATTTTAAAAGGCAAGTGCGAACAAACATACGTAACAATGGCGGAGTATATGGTACTGTTGTTGCTGCTCAAGAGCTAACGCTTCTTCAGCAAAGTGTGGATTTACTTCACCAATATTACAACCAACAGCGGAGACGCATCATATACATCATATAATCATCACTTCCGTACAGGTACTGTTTACTAACAAGGTGACAGCGCCAACTATTGGTCTGGCATACGTAATACAGTGTTTTTGCCCGTTTTCGTGGATGTGTAAACGCGAATCGTTTTGAAAACGTTGTCGTGTATACGTGAAACTTTTTAAAAATGCAAAGGAAAAACTTTTCAGTTTTTGACTACATCGTTGTCATGTAAACGTAGCCTCAGACCAATGTATGCGAGCAGAGCACTGTCAAAGAAGAATGACTTTACTGGGAAAAAAGGAGCCAATGTTTTCTTTCACTCTATCAGTACTCAGAGTGGGGTTTCACCAGTAAGTGAGTGAGAAGAACTGAAAAACCTAGAGTGGAGCTGGAGTGAAATGAATTCACAACGCTTTGGCAAAATTTTCTCTGAACTGCAAGTTACTCCATTTTAACTTCTTGTTTACATAACTGTTGTACAAAAGTAATATATGTTATACTACATATTGTCAAGGCTGTGATTACTTGCGGCCTCAATAACAACAACACGCTTGCTAGGGTGATATTGCTTAAATATAGCATTAAAGCTCTGGGAGAGCAAAATCATACAGTATATTAAGACGAATACAAGGCTTAAAATGAGCTGAAACCAAAACAGCCGCAAAACAGAAAAGACAACAATAAATCAATCAGGAGGAAAAGCGCTGGAGGCTGTATACACACGCCAGCCAGTCTGCAGTCTTCAAAGATTTTCCGAGCGAGCCATCGGGAGACGCCATTAACTCCTGACAAAGAATGCAAATTAATCCCAACATGGGGTGAGACGAAATTAAAGAGCCTTTTATAATCAATGACAAGATAACACATAGAAAACACACATACACACACACCCATGCACTCACACACACAAAACAGCAGCAGATTTGCGGCTCTGAGACTGAGTGCGAGTGGAGCGGGGGAAGGGCATCAGAAGTCGATGCAGAAATACAGAAGGCATCTCTCGAGATCTCAGAGCACAATGGACAATGACTCTTTAAGCATGTGCGTGTGTGTGTGTGTGTGTGAGAGAGAGAGAAAACGGACAGATGCCTGGGCTGATGTGAGTGACAGGCCAGGCCCGAGGTAGTGTGTGTGCTGGCTGGGTGGCGTGTGCATGCGTGTGTGTGCGATGCCTGCAGGTGAAGAGTCTGCAGCACCATATGGAGCTGTGAAAATTAACATCAAGAGCAAAAACGCTCTAGCAGTGGGAGGTTTTGAGAGAGAGAGAAAACAGACAGATGCCCGAGCTGATGTGAGTGACAGGCCAGGCCTGAGGTAGCGTGTGTGCTGGCTGGGTGGCGTGTGCACGCGTGTGTGTGTGTGATGCCTGCAGGTGAAGAGTCTGCAGCACCATATGGAGCTGTGAAAATTAACATCAAGAGCAAAAACGCTCTAGCAGTGGGAGGTTTAGCTCTCCCTCTCTTTCTTACTGACTAACCCCCTCCCTCTTTCTCCTTCATGCCTTTCTCTCGCTCTCTCTATTTCCATTCCATACGAATTCACAAATGCAGGAACAGGGAAAGGGAGAATAAGGAAGATTAAAGGAGGAAGTAATAAATTAATGGGGTGTGTATACATGAAATGCTTCAGTATAATGCCTCTGGCTCTACGGGCCAAGAACAAAAGTTTTGCCATTCATTGGTTTCAATTCCTATCGCTTTATCTGATAATGATATACTGCATGATGAGAAGAACCTGATTGGATTTCACACATTCCCATGTCATTGTCAAAGAGGATTTTTGTTTTTGTTTTGAAGGTTTAGATACAGACCAACATAAAAAGGACACATTTAGTTCTGCAGTCCTGTGAGGAAGAGAAATGCTGTACAATATTTAACATCAACAGATGAAATCACGGTTTCAGACAGTGTGTATGAGGGAGTGTTTGTGTGTACATGTGAATACATTAGTTTATGTAATATTACTCTGTGGATTAACATGATAATGGCCCTGTTAATAGATAATGCTGGAGAGCAGAGGAAAACAATTTCAAATGAGACAAGCCTCCAGGCCACGGGATAATGCACACACACAAATGCACTCGTACACAGAAACCACCCTGGCCTCTAGCCTTCTCATGTTCTAACGTCTAATGTTCATCATTTCACACAGTTTGTTCATCCTATATTTTGTCTATCTCTTCTATGTTAGAAAAATCTACACTAAAAATGGATCAGGATTTAGGATTAACCCTAGCACTCCTCATAATATCCTTTCAATTTCACGCATTGCATACCAATTTTTTAACTATCGCCGTGGTGCACAATAGCTTTGCATCAAGTGATGTGTGAGATAAAGTACAAACACACACCAGTGCCAGGCCCAGCCTCCGTGACCGTTCGATGCTCAAGGCTTTGGCTCTAGATGCAGCCTCAAAATGTTCCTTTCTGATTTCCTCTGCATGCCCTGAGTGGCTGCTTTGTTTTAATATGCTAATTAACCCAACAGGCATGCTGGGAGTAATTTATTGAGCATTAGTCAACATTTCCCTCATTAAACTCACTGCACTCTTACATGCAGAACTTTAAAAAGCAGAGAGTCTGATTAGAGAAAACTAGGGCACTGAATCAGATTTGGTTATACAGTATATTTGTAGAATATATACACAGGGCTGAAAATTGTCACAAAAAATAAAGTATTAAAATAACGCTTTACAATATAACCATATTAATGTATTAACATTAGTTACTGCATAAGGCATTATGAACAAACAATGAATAATACTTCCATATCATTTATAAACCTTGCTTACATACACTACTGTCCAAAAGTTTGGGGTCTGCAAGAATTTTCATGTTTTTGAAGTCTCTCATGCTTAAAAAGGAAAATCAGAAAATACACTAAAAACATCTAACTATAAATTTCAATTTAAAATAGGCTAACTGTTTTCTATTTGTATTTACTTGAAAATGTAGTGTATACCTGTGACACACTAAATGTGTGTGGCATATCTTAATTTTCAGCAGATATTATTCCAGTCATATGCTGATTTAGTGCTCAAGAATAACTTCTTATTGAAAACAGTTGTGCTGCTTAAGTTTTGTGGAATGTGTGATTACTTTTTTTTTTTCAGGATTATTTGATGAATAGAAAGTTTAAAATGACGGCATTTATTTGAAATAGAAATGAAATATTTGATTAACTTTATAAATGTCTTATCTGTAACTTTTGATCAATTTACATTAACATTAACCTAGATTAATACATTTTGTAAAAGTATTACTCATGATATCGCATTCATTACTGTAATAATGTCAATCAATGTCAACGTCAATAAATTAAACAATTTTGTAAAGTGTTGACATGTATAAATTGATTTAGAAAAGAGAGTTTCCAAAGAACTAGAGAGGAATCAGAAACTCAGTCTGCTGTTTATAAGCGGTTCATCGATGTAACATATTCCTTAGGATGGCGTTCAAAAATAATGTATGTAATTTTGAAAGTAAGGCCATACTTGTCCCAAAAAAACAACAAAATTTTTGGCACAGTCTAATTAAACATGTACAAAGTATATTAAACACACTATACATCTACACCATGTCATACAACATGTGCCATAAAATAACATGCTTTGTGCATTGGGTACCATGTGGTTCATAAACTGGGAATCCTCCAAATGAATCCGGATTATAATCTATGTTTGTCATTCTTAAAATGGGATCATCTTGATAAATCCCTGAATGAAATCTGATTACAGGGTGGTTGGGACTGAGGAATGGAGCAGGTCTGCAGGACTGTACGTAATGTAATGTAATCTGAGTAAACATGGGTTGGATGAGCAGTTGTGGGATGAACAGCCAGTTAATTACTGCCCATACATTAAGATCAAGAGGAAGTGGGTGTCTGCCGTGTCTCAAGGGCGTAGAACTGTTGAATATTCAAGAGCTGAAAGTTAAACTGCTATCTTATTTAATTTGATGTAGTAGACTCACCTGTGGATATGGAAAAGAGCCCAGCGCCAACTGCCAATGAAATAACAGAGGGAAAGTTAAGTTATAATGAAGCACAGAGGAATAATCACATGCACACTCACTCACACACACACACCTGCATAAGCACATGAGCTTTTACTAATACAGCTATGATGGACGATGTCTCAATCAGGACAATCAAAGCTGCTTAACATGAACATACTAAAATCAATTTCTTAATAATACATTACACTCATGTTTTTGGCCATTTAATTGCATATGAACTGCAATTAAATGAGAATGTATATACAGTTAATAAATGTACATTAAATGCAGGTTGTTGAACTTTAAAAGGGCACTTGAGATACGTAGCTTTCCAAAAAAGCACAGTACAATACGAGTGCACATTCAATACAATTAAGTGCACTTCTTTTTCACAAGAGTTAAGGAGCAGTTATATTCGTAATCCTGCCTACGTCCCAGCATCACAGCAGGTGTATGTGCTTCAGCAGGTGTTATTCTGTGAAGTCTACAGCACATGCTGAAATAAAGAACAGATGTGGAAAAAGCAGCAAACCCAGAAGCAAAAGTCAAACTAAAAATAAGACTATTTTCAAACCTTACTTTAATTACATTCCAGTTACATTTAGAAAATTAATCCAAATCAAACCTCAGTGCATTCATTTATTAAATCTAACATACCCATCTCAGTTCAGGAGGTGAGTTCAGTTCATTAGATAAGAAATCTGCCAACAGAACATAGAGGTAATTCACCCGAACTGCTTAGACATTCCAGCAGCCGAGCCGAATCGATCCCGTCCCTAACAACATGGTAAGGTCAACACTAAATCATAATCAAATCAATATACTGTTCATCAACTCATGATAATGTCAATCCATATGACCCTTGATATTTCCCTCCCTAAACATCTCACTGATAATATCTAACAGTATTGATAAATACAATCAAGGGATTGAGTGGAGGGATACAATAACAATTCATCACAGCCAATGAGAAGCGCTGACAATTACAAAATGGGAATCAATAAAGCCAATGAGAACTACCAGCACGGCATTTTTAGTACACGAGTCAAACCACCATATTAAAATCTAATCCACTCATACGTACAGTTCTTGCTGCTGTTGTTTTTCTGCTTAGAAAAACATCCACTTCAAAAAAAAATCACTATACTCATACACCTCTCTTCTCTTTTTCAGGCACAAACACATACACACACACCTCTGGAACAGAGAACACAGCACTCTAACTACTGGACGTTCTGCTGGTGAGTGATTGAAAGCGTTTTGCCACAATGACTCCAAATCTTTCACTCTTACATACACACACACACTCATTTTCTTTAATGTTTCACTACACACACATTTTGTCCTTAATATTATTTCTTCACCATTTATTAATCCAATTTTTATATATATAGAAACCACATGCATGCACACAAAATCTAATTTCTTACTTTATGCTCACATGGGAATTTGAAGGGAGAGGGTCCAAAACAATAGCAGAGCAGAGTCTGTGTGTGTGTGTGTAGCACTCAGTGGGAGATCTTGAGTGTGATCCATGCATAGCTGTAGGCCAACATCTGTTTGGACAGGCTGCCTGCAGGGACTATCAACTGCACTCAGCAGAAACACTGACACCAGTCCACCCGAACTACGAACGCTGGGCTGTGTGTATACGTGGGTGTTTAAAACAAATTATTATATGGCTTTTTTTACCTCCATGAAAGAGATTCCTACGCTCCACACGTCTGAGTGAATACCATACTGTTCCCCTGATATCCGCTCTGGCTATAGAGGCAAAGACACAAAGACACATTACAAAGAATCATTACAATGCAGTGAACAATTATGCATTGTACTTCGAGTAGGACTGTGGCACTAAAGGCCACACTAACATTCATTCCTGATTCCTGTGTGAACTATTTAACAAGCTCTGTTGTCTAAATGTGTGTGTGCATGAGTGTAAATCGTACTTTAGAAAGCATATGATTGTATTGTGTTCATTACAGGCACATACTTGACTGACAGCCTTTACAATCAAATGTGTATAACCTATGCATTCTCTATTCATGTAAAATAACAATAAAGCATCTGAACAGAAAAAACATTACAGGTATGAATGCAGCTTACCGCCATGTATGCATTGGTTCCAACGTATGTTTTAGCAATGGAGTTCACCAACTGTGGAAGAAAGCAGGAGAAACATTTTTAAAAATGAATAATTATATGTAAATGATACATTAGTGTGGCCTTCACAGATCTATTTTGAGCTATTGCGGTCAGTCATGACAATTTAGGATTCTACCATGCATTTAAATGTGGATGTAACTCTCAAAACTTGGCATTGCGTGCAGCATGAAAAATAGGACTTTAATTCTCACTTTAATGGATCATACAGATATCAAGCAAAGAGTGCTCCCTTTATAATCACTGAAGCTGTCAAACACTTCAGTTCAGAGCAAGCTCACTCCCGAAAAAAAAAGAAGATATTTTCAATGGTAATGGTTTGGTTGCCAAGATTCTTCTAAAGATTCCTTTTGTTGTTGTTGTTTTACAGACAACAACAACAAAAGTTTGGAACAACGTCAGGGTGAGTAAATGATAAAAGACCTATTTTTGGGGTGAACTATCCCTTTAAGCAGCAAATTTAATTTTTAAATGAAGTGTTATTGATTTCTTTAAATCCCAAGCATGAACAACGGTAATAATAATCATTTAAAAGGATAAGTAGACAGATAAATACATTAAAAAATTGTAACTTCACAAAAATATTGGTTTGTCAATATTAATTAAAATGTTACAGTAAATGTTACATACAGAAATTAACATAGTGCATTAATAAATTCTATTAAAAAAATGCATTAACTAAACCTAACTAATCAAACCTGTTAGTTTTGAAGTGCTATCTTCAAAACCAACTAACAAATAGATTCCTCTTGCCTATCCTAATAACTGACGTAGATCTTAGCAGTGACAGTATTGGATATCTAGTAGCATCACACCTCAAGCTCAAAGGTGAAACATTACCCCGTCTGTATGTGCACAGCCAAGAATAATATAGAGAAGCCATCCCATTCAGTCCTCTGATAGAAGCAGCACAGTTATCTCGGTTTAAACAGTGAAATTCAGTACAGATGTGACAGCAGGTGACCTGAGCTCTCTTCCATAAGCTAAAGGACACAGTAAGAGGAACTGATTTAAATCTACTGAAAAGAGTGTGTTATTGTGGAGTGTTATTGAAATGCCAGCCTGGTTTAATTTTAGTCTATACTCTCACAGGGGAGAGACAGTGAGATCCGGACACAATGGCACATGTCAGCAATGACAGGACAAACATAATGAGAGCGTTCCCCCGTGGCCTGACGTACATCTGTGTGCGCGTGTGTGTAAGTGAATAAGAGAGACATAGGTTTACTATACAGTGTCATGGTCTGGACGGGCACAGAGGAGAACACACACACGCACCTCATCCAGGGGTCAGCTTCAGCTTGAATCTCTTCGGGGAACATGGGTATGAATATTAATTAAAAGAGGGCCGTTTGGAGTGATTGGGTCCCATTGTTGGACTCCTGCGTGTATTAGAGGTGGAGAGACTGATGCTGACTTTCTCAGTATGAGCTATTGTCTCCAGCCACACGCACGCACACACCATCACTCATACACACTGAATATCTGGTCAATGTGGTAATTATAAAGAGCTGGAAGTGAGAGGAGAAGAGCAATCTAGGGGGTATCTGGGGGTTAGGGAGCAAAGGCAAAAAGTCCCTGGAGGAATAAGATAGAGAAGAGAACAGAGACATTGAAACTGATGGGACAATGGCTGATCTGAGCTGACTGTGCTCACAACATACATACACATGAGAAGCACTTGTGTGAGTATATGCATTCATGCAGACAAACAAACATGCACACAAATAGTTACAGGATCCAAATTAAAATGTACCTGTGTGCTGACTCCAAAGTCACACAGTTTGACCTGGCCCCGTGTGTTAACCAGCATGTTGGAGGGTTTCACATCTGCACAGAGATACAATGCATTTACACAGAGATTCAAAATTATATACAGTATGTCAGCATTTAATATTATAGATGTCACTAGATTACTGAACTTCTGCAGTGTAATATGGAGGAGAGTTCAACATTTATTATTTATTGCATATTTTAATAGGCAAATTTAACAAATAACCTGTGCATTAAGTACAAATGAACAGTCCTTTCATTAATAGTTACAATTTTACAAGTTACAAAACAGTAGTTTTCTCACCTCTGTGTAAAATCTTTAGGCTCCAGAGGTACGTTAATCCTTTTACCACCTATAGACACACACAAACAGCCACACTCATTGAAAACAAACTCAGAAGAGACTCAAAAGGGTATGAGAGCTATGTCTGTAGATGATATTGCTGTAAATTATCTGAACAGTGGCATATCTTTGATTATTGTGAGAAAGTGTGAGGGAGAGGGTAATACCGGTCAGAACCGAGAGCAATGACAATTCAGCACTAATAAAATGTTACAAAGACAAAGCACACATACACACAACATCGGCATGTAACAGATTCTTGGACATGCCGAAAACTCTAAAATCCTAGCTTTCAAAATTCCCTGATACACTTATTCGATAACAGTTTCATGACTTGAAGAGGACTTACTGCAACAGCAATTCTGCCCAAGACATGCTCTGGGATTCTCCAGTAGACATCCAGAGAGCCACCTACATTAAAAACAAATAAATACATTTAAATTTCACATATTGTGAGTGATGCTTTCTTTTGTGACTGTTGCCTCCCAGATGCCTCACAAACGTTAAAACAGATGAGACTTACCATCCATAAACTCAGTGCATATCGATATTCTGTTCTCCACAAAGAAAGCACTGTAGAACTTTATGATGTATGGAGAATCACACTGTAAACAACACAATCAAATATATCAAAACTATGGTAAAACCTTTATATGCCCAGAACACATTTAGCACTGAATCATTAATGTACACTACCACTGGAAAGTTTGGGCTCTGTATAAATGCTTTTGAAAAAAGCTCACCGAGATTGTGCTGCTTAATATTTTTGTGGAAACTGTAAAAGTTTTTAGGATTCTTTGATATGAACACGGCTTGATGAAACAGATATTTATACAGTGTATTGAGTTTATTGAGAAATTTTGCATGATTCACTGAATGGTTCTCAATGAATTGTTTCATTAAGACTTTGGCTGGTAGTTATTTGTAGAAAGTCGTGTAATGCTAATGCAGCAGTATTTTATTCAAAATGAGAAATTGGCTGATTATTTTATGCGATTGGCTCATTGTTGCAATGGGTGATTTGTAATAAATTAAAGTCTATCCTGCAGCTGTTGTCAGAGCAGGTTACAGGAACAGGTGGACTGAACTACATAGGCATTGATCCCTGAATAATTCATTAAACTTCCTTACTTATCACAGTCATACACCTCATCTGAAAGCTGAAACCACACACAGCTCTAAACGAATTTGGTTTTTACCTGGAAAGTGGCTCCAAACTTTACGAAGAACAAAACATTGAGAGTATTCAGGTGTTACTTTTAACAGACACTCTCAAGGCTAACAAAGTGACACTTGAGTGCAAAATGCTCTAAGTTTAGTTATTGAGCGGGAGGTAAGAAACTGATATGACTAAAGCATTGTAAGTCACTGGTCATACTAGGTGAGCACATTTTCAAAATTAGGTGTGGAAAAGAGGACTGAAATACACATATAGTACTATCCGATAGATATAGATTAAGTAATCAAGCAAACTTAAAAAGTTCAGACCTTATAAAGGATCTCAAGCTCTGACATGATCTGCTTCTGCAGCTCCACGGTGATGTCGAGAGGAATAACCTGCAGTAGAAGCATAAAGCCAGCATTTCAAAAATCACATTGACCTTTCTGAACTATCAAATGAGCAATTGAGATCTAAAATGAAATCCATTTACACCCAAACAGAACTCTTAAGCACAGTTTGTTATATCAAACTCACATATGCAATGCTAGACACTTCGCCTTCTCTTTTCCCCAACAATTTTACATCAGGTAAATACAACTTGCAAACATAAGCAGTCATTCAAGTATACTTTTCTGTGCAGGTGAGGTCAACCCTGAGTCAGTCACCTGCGAAACCTCAGACATTCTGAGCTGTGGAGCGTTATCAGCTCCGTTCCTGTTTCAGTGTGAGCTCTCCCAGACAGGCCTCCTGTTACAGGTCGAATTAATGGCAAAGCCACAATTATTTAATTATGATCCTTGCTCATTCTGAGCAGTGGGTCTGGTTACTGCAGTAGGTGCTGAAGAGGGGTTGGGTTACAATAACCCACGACACGGTCCATTCCACCAGGTAATATACTAACAACAGACAGCTGCCAAACGAGCCTGGAACACAGGTGCACGGCATGTGTGTTTGTGTAAATGAGAAAAGAAACGACAGAACAAGAAAAAGACTGATTTGATTATGAATCTCTGTATGTATGTGCATATACGCCTGCAGTAAACAAATTGGTAGTGGTTTGTGTTTGAGACAGTGCATGTGATTTATGGGAAATAGATGGCTGATCTGGTCACAGCTCCAGACACCTCGTAACTCCGGCAAGCCTTTAATTAATGTCGCTCTAAGTGACGCGACGGCTAACTTCCCTCATTTAGGACGAAGACATTCGATCCCATCTCACCTCAGTGTCCTCTGCAGGTACACTTTACACTTCTGAAGATTCTGAGCCATACAAGATGCACAGATGCTCAGTGATAGGTTTGCTTATTGTTAACACAAAAAAATATATACTGAAAATTAAATCTTAAAGTGTTCAAGTAATTGTGAAGAAACACTGAAAAGTGATATCAATACTTTTATCTGTTGGAGGTGGTACGGCATGATGGGTACAGCTCAGGGCTGACTATCAGAAGGTTGCTAGTTTCACTTCACGCATGTAGCGAGTCATAAGCATCACCATTGTGCCCTTCAGCAAGACATTTAACCCCAGGTCTCTCCATAGGGATTGCCTGTGTAATATGTATGCTATAAGTTGCTTTGGATAAAAGCATCTGCTTAATGACTACTTACTACTTACTAATGCCAACTCAACCAATGATGTTGTCTAAATGGTCGCTTCAGGACATTCTGAACAGTAATGTATCCTACTAAGCCCATTCGCAAAGTTCAGCTAGAGTCCTTGAACTTTGACCCTGCTGAGTAAGTCATGCAGCGATGACTTAAGACTGACAGATGCACATTCAGGACGAGGTGACGTAGTGACGTGTGGTCCTGACCCCCGTAAATGTGTCCCTATTCTCTGTTTGTTATTTACACTCCAGAGCCCGAGGTAATGAAAGCTCTGTCATGCAGTATTCATGGATCTCTCGAAGACAGCCATCCCATGCATGTGCGTTTGCAGACGAACACACACGCATGCAACCACACAAACAGGTTTTGATTACAGTGGCCAATGCGGACCAGACAGCTCTCTCAGTCTCTTTCTCAATGCCATCTAACCTGAGATGACCAGATGATCACCTCACCTGAAAGAAAGCCACAAAGAGATGTGCGCGAGAAGAAACAAACCTACAGCAATGGTTCTCACCTGGTGGGTCGTGCCCCAAAAATGAGTCGCAGGGTAGTTCTAATAAGATCACAAATTGTAGGGGGGAAAACAATGCTAAAGGTAAATAATTACAAATATAATATGTGACCCTGGAGCACAAAACCAGTCTTAAGTCGCTGGGGTATATTTTTAGCAATAGCCAAAAAAACATTGTATGGGTCAAAATTATTGATTTTTCTTTTATGCCAAAAATCACTAGGATATTAAGTCCATGTTCCATGAAAATATTTTGTACATTTCCTAGTGTAAATATATCAAAACTTAATTTTTGATTAGTAATATGCATTGCTAAGAACTTCATTTGGACAACTTTAAAGGTGATTTTCTCAATATTTAGATTTTTTTTTTGCACCCTCAGATTCCAGATTTTCAAATAGTTGTATCTTAACAAACCATACATCAAAGGAAAGCTTATTTATTCAGCTTTCAGATGATGTATAAATCTCAATTTCGAAAAGCAGACCCTTATGACTGGTTTTGTGGTCCAGGGTCACAAATGTCAGTGGCCAATTGCAACAAACCCCTCAAAAAATTTATGCGCGTGTGTGTGTGTGTGTGTATGTATGTGCATACTGTATAAATATGTATATATATATATTTTACATGTGTGAATATTCCCTACTATATATATATATATATATATAGAGAACTATATATGACCAGGACTACATTAAATTATGGGTTCACATGGTTTGTGCGGATCACAATGCATTTTCAGCAGCGAGTTATTGGTTGCCGAGAGCATAAAACCAATTCAAAAGAAATTTAGAAAGTGACATTCGTCTACATCAATCATTCTGTATATTCTTGTCTCTATGCATATATTTGTTCAGAATTGTAGAGTATGAATTTAAGAATGTTTTTGTTTACTTCATCTTTTCTCGGATATGTGCGCAACAAACATGCTTATAAACACAGTAACACAACATCAAGGGGTGCAGGTTAGGTGAAAGCCTTACAGAAAATATTTATTTATACCTAAGAAAAGCAATTTAAGTGAATACCCTTGGCGCCATCCAGTATGCAGTCTGATGGTCACAAAGGTGTGTTTTGCATAAAGGAGAGTGCGTGTATGTGAGCGAGCACAGTAGAGGTGATCGAGGACAGCTGTGGAGATGGATGGGAGACTGGCCTAAATTTCCCTACTCGCAACATCAGAGATTATATTACATTTCACCTGCGGCTACCTGTACTGCACTGCAGCTGTCAGTCTGAGCAGGAAACACAATAACAGTAAATGTTACCCTTCTTTAAAGATCATGAATATGTAGTGAACAAAATAGAAATTAAAAAAAAATTAAAAAAATCTTGGTATTACAATTTTGCATTGGCTTTTAGTGCCTGTTCCATACAGACTTCCTATGTTCAGAACGTCTGTATTTCTCGATCTAACACTTTAAAGAGAAAAAACACAGGGAAAAAGGTTTGAATTAGGAGATGAATGCAAAATTCAGCAGTTTCTTTTGTTTGAGGGGGAAAAATAATTCTAGGCAAACACATTTAGTGCTGAGCTCGCCAGACTGCATTCTTGTCTGGGTTGCAGTATTGGCTTTTTTTTTAAATGGTTGAACAATTTCCAACAACCCAGAGGTGCTCCTCCAAGTAAGAGAAGCAAATGATGAAAGTCTGTGTGATCCACAAAACCACACAGAGCCTTGTCAACAGTCACTAGGTTCAAGAAATTAATGAAATGATTTGTGTGTGCAAGGCGATGACCTTGCCCTGTCCTGTATAGGCTGTGGTATATAGCTTTGGCACAGAAAGGAGCTTTAGAAGGATCAAAAAGAGTCACTTCAACTTCACGAGCACTAAATCAGTGTCATCCTTAACTCGCATGTCTTACGATATTTAATAAACCATAATATTGGGGGGTTGTTGAAGGACATTTGACAACATGAGCACATGCGAGACCAATGTAAAATTAATCAGAACATGAGTGCGGACAACAAAACACTTTTTCCTTTTCAGTTACATTCTCATGGTTCAATTTGCTGGCTCTGGTTAAAACCTATAGATTGCACTAAAGGGTAAAGAAGGCCTTTGAAGAGGCTGACCACAATCAGTCTAATTAAATCTCAAGGTAAAAACCATGAGAGCAACACTCACTTGTAAACTGTTCCGCCATTTCCATGGCCAAGCTGCTCCTGGTACTGGAGGTCATGTTCATTTATCTAAACAAACAGAGAAAGAAAATGAGACTCTGCAGTTATCCAAAGAGAACAGATTCTAAACAAACAAAGGAGGGGGGGGGGGTGAAATGTCTACTTCCTTGGTGGGTATGTATATGCATGCATTCATAGACTTGTCCCTATGAGATTGCCACTACAGCAGTTTTCTATTCTGTCTTTAGCTCAATAAATGTGTAAAATGGTCAAATAAACTGAAGTGAGCTGATGAATTGAGAGGCAGAAACAGAGGAAGACTGAATAAAGGCTTATTTATTCAGCTTTCAGATGATGTATAAATCTCAATTTAAAAAAATTTACCCTTATGACTGGTTTTGTGGTCCAGGGTCACAAATGTCAGTGGCCAATTGCAACAAACCCCTCAAAATGGTTTAACCACTATAGATTTTCATAACTTAAGGGGTCTGTAAAAACCAGAAGCAGATTCCATAGGGCCAGAGTATCTCTGAGGCTGACGAAGCAGAAAAAATGCTGTGAAGATCACTCTGGTAATCTTCTGACCTGACCTGTAAATGCAGTTGCTAATTCCAGCTACGGAGGACTTCAGATCCAGCTTTGAACTGATGCATCCAGGTAACAAATTAACTCCCACTTGAACAGAGTTCAGAACAACTCTGTTTTCTATTGAATCATATCTTTTGAATCACATTAAAGCCATGAGATAACATTTTATCCACCTTTTTCTTGCCGTAAAAATAGGCCATTTGTAATTTTTATGGGATTGGATTCCGGTCTCATCCGCATCCAGCTATTTTTAGCTGTACAAAACATTGTAAATTGGTGTGTCTTACCTTATTATTTTAATGTATTATCTTAATTATAAACATACTTGTTCGTAATGCAAACAGTTTTATCGTTTACTGCACCTTGCTATTTTTATCGTTATTTCTCTATAGAGGCTAACAAACCGGAAGTCTCACCTATAGGCTTACTTCCGTGTTGAAAATTAAGGTGGCTTTATAAATTATTTATATTTATATGTATTCAAATAAATTATAAACATTTTATAATAATTAAGATGCTGTTGTTATTATTATCAACAGCAGCATTTTTCATTAGTATATTATTATATTTAATTATAATTAAATCTTCTACCAAGTAATATGATATCATTTCACCCTATCAAGAACTATATGCGATAACAAGTACATATTATTGCAGGGGGAAGTAATTCTCTTGTGAACTGGACCTGATGTGAAGTCAATGCTCTGCTGATGGGCCACACCCTGACTGCTGGGGCCCAGTGCAGGGAGGATGCTAGTGATCCATTAACTGTGCATGTTACAGGTCTTAATTGTCTATCTGACACACTTTTGTTGACAGACTGGCCTGCTGGGGGCCTGTGGAGGGAGGAGAAAGGGTGACAGGGCAATGGGGAGGGGTGAGCAGAAGGACACACAGATACAGCTCTGATCACTCAAGATAAAGATCTCAACCATACCACAGAGAAAGGGTCAGAAAGCCCTTTAGGGGCAATCAATAGATGCTTTTGCACATTCACACACATGGGCTATGGTGACAAATTAAATGGGATATCAAGCATCACTGGTTGAGTGGGAACAGCATCACTGACAAGATAATCAGATTCGATTGAAGTGGGAATACAGTGCGGTATATCAAAATGTATGCCAAAGTAAAAGTGTGTGTTGTGAGGGGAGGGCTACTATACCTGTCCATTCGTCAAAATCTTCTTAAGCTCAGCTGAAGATTTCTTTAAACTGCTGAAGTGAAAAGACAAGGTATGACATTTTGTAAAGATGACTCAATAATGCTTTGCAAAAATCTGACATGAGTAAATTGTTTAGAGCAGTTACTTCACGTTAGAAATGTAAGATGAGAATAATTTGTCTAGCATGATCTGCAGCACTTCATTTCCCTACATCACTGCCGGATAACACAGACTGGCCTTCAAAATGCAGAATGCAAAGACCTTCAGAGGTCTTTGTACTGTGCCAGGGGGTTTCATTCTCTAAGACAGAATCCAATTAATATTGGGAAAATTTTTTTACTGCATGTTCAGGGCATGAAGATGGCAAACTCCTGTTAGCATTTCTCTTTCTCTTGTAAAGAGAATGACATTATGGAGACAAAATAAATGAATATCACTTTTAATTCGGCCAAACTGCAACTGTTCACAACAAGGCCCAATTGATTAATATTTATTTTCCTAAAAAATTTATTTTAAAACGTTTTCTACTTATATCATGACTGATTTACAAAGCTCAAAGACACCATAATGGGAAAAACCATCCATAAATAAACAGGAATTGCATTGGTAACATACACTAAAGTTCAAAAGTTTGGGGTCAGTAAGATTTTATTTGATGATCCTTTAAAAGAAGTATCTTAGGCTCACAATGGCTGCATTTGTTTGAAAATACAGTACAAACAGTAGTATTGTTAAATATTAGTACAATTAAAAATAACTTTTTTATTTGAATATAACATTTATTTGAATATAAATTATATTGATTTCCGTGATGGCAAAGCCGAATTTTCTTAGCAGCCATTATTCCAGTCTACAGTGTCACATCACATGTCAGTGTTACAGCGTGCAAAAGTTTGGGATCAGTAAAGTTTTTAAAGAAGTTTCTTATGCTCATCAAGGCTGTATCTATTTGAAATATTGCAATTTAAAACAAAAGTTTTCTATTTTAATAAACTTTCAAATATAATTTATTCCTGTGAAGCAAAGCAGACTTTTTAGCATCATTATTCCAGTCTTCAGTGTCACATGATCCTTCAGAAATAATTCTAATATGCTGATTTATAATCAATGTTGAAAGCAGTTGTGCTGCTTAATATTTGCTGGGACCTGTGATCATTTTTCAGGATTCTTTGATAAATAAAAAGTTAAAAAGAAATTTTGTGTTACAATATACACTACTATTCAAAAGTTTGGGGTCAGTGAATTATTTCTTTATTTTTTTCATTTTTTCTGTATTTTTATCAAATAAATACAGATGAGCATAAGAGACCCCATTACAAAAAACAAGGTCAGTTATTTATTAGGTTTATAATATAGGCCTACCATAACAGAACATAACAAACTGAAGCATGTAAACTTATAGAATACAATAGAATAGAATACAATAGAAAACAATCTGAAGCATTTAAATTGAGAACTGTAAGCTAAATATTTTCAAAAAACGTGAACGTGAATTCTTGTATAGCTATCTAAACATCCAAGTACATGTTTGCACAATACACCTGTGTGTAACTGTAAATGTCTCAGTTTTGTTACCGTTCTGTGCCCATCATCCCCTATTTCCAGCACTTAATCAAGCTACTCTTCTTTAATACATGATGATGTTTTATTTCACATGTCATTGTGTTTGCTCTCGTGTTGAGCTATTTCGCCCGCAACCATTGAAGTATTGGATTTCTACAGCGCCTCATTTGGCGAACATAATTCTCTTTCTAGGAAACCTGTAAACCGCATTGCCCGGATCTAACTCTATAGCGATATCAACTCTATAGCGGTTTGCCCGAGCATTGAAATCTTTCTCTTTTACTAGAATTCAATCAATTGGCTTTCCCAACTCTTTTTTTGTGTGTGCGCGGCACATTATTTCTTCTGCGCGGCCGTGGTGGAAGAAGTGCGCATCAGCCGCACGTGTGCAGCTTAGAGGGAACATTGGTCACATGATCCATCAGAAACATTCTAATGCTGCTTTGATGATCAAAAACATTTATTTTTATTATAAATGTTAAAAAACATTTCTACTAATATCAGATTCCACTGCTTAGTAATATATTTCATAACTGTAAGCTGACCAAGAAATATGGAAAACTTGAGGCATCTAGAATTGTTTTTCAGTGTATGTTTAATAGCATCCAACAAAATAGATCCAAATAGATTTTATAGTCAACTATTGATTTCGTAAAGGTATTCCTAATGAATCATTAATGCAGTTACTTTACTGTAAAAACTGTAACTATATCTGTATTTATAAACAAAAATCTTAGAAATAAGATTTTTCTCTCAATGAGGGCAGGCATGATCTGGGATCACTCACCTATCACTGGACCGGGAATCAGCCGCAGAGGAGCCCCTGCCACTCGAGGATTCGGGCCGCGTGTTCACCTGCAGGCAAACAAAAACAATCAGAGCCCTGTGCTAATTAACCTGTGATTCAACAGCAAACTGCCTGGATTGGCCGCAAGGTTAATTGGCTTTTGTGAGGGAGACAGAGAGAAATAAAGCGAGAGGCTTGAGGAAAGGGGTCACTTCATCTATCAGGCGAAATTAAATGTAACTCTGGGATCATCCTTGAATTAAAAAAAGAAAAAAAAAGAAAAAAAAGAATGAATCAACATCATGTCCTTTATTTGTCATTAAAGAGGATTCATGAAGCTGCGTATTGTCAGAGTCATGCTAACAGATCACAGTGGGAGAATGAAGGAAAAAGCTCAAAGAGAGTCTCTATATAAATAAGTAGATTAATTGAGGTCTGTAGGTTGTATAGTGTAATGCCGTAAAGCAGTGATTCTCTTCTTAATTAGTGTCTATGAAGACCTCATTTAGATCGGTTTATCAGGGGTTTTTTATTCTCTTAAAGCCAATTAATCCAGAATTAAACAAAAACAATTGCAAAACAAGAATAAGATGGTCCGTATCATACTATTTAAATAAACAGAAACTACATCACCCTAAGCCTGGGGTTAGTAAGGTTTTTTAAAACAAATGAATATCTTTATTCAGCAAGGACGCATTCATTATTTAAAAGTAACAGTAAAGAAATTTACAGCGTTGCAAAAATTTACTATTTCAAATAAATGATGTTCTTTTGTTTTAACCAAAGAACGTTCTATTAATCAAAGAATCCTGAAAAAAAAGAATCAAACCCACAAAAATATTAAGCAGTATAAATGTTTTCAATATTAATAAATGTTTCTTGATCACCACATCAGTATATTAGAATAATTTCTGAAAGATCCTGTGACACTAAAGACTGGAGTAATGACTGCTGAAAATTCAGCTTTGCCATCACAGGTGTAAATTACATTGCAAACTATAATAAAATACAAAACAGGCATTTTAAATGGCAATAACAGTTCATAATATTTCCGTGGTGATGCACAAGAACATAAAAAGAGCATAAAGAAGCATAAAATGCTGCGGTGTGCATAAAAAACATGAAAAAGGACAAATAAATAAATAAAATGCACAAACCCCAAACTTTGGAAGCTTGCACCATGCACCATGCAAGCTTTAAATATGTTTTTGTTTTAACATTGCATCATTTTGTATAATGTTTTCTAATTGAGTAACATAGAAAGCAGAACAAATAATTCTTATTTTAGAAGATAAAAAAATACAAATGAAAGCATTGAGAGGGTAGAAAATAAGGGATAGATAGACAGAGATTGTTGACTTTAATTGACATTTCAATAAGTGCTACACAGCATAACCAATCCATGCCCAACTCTGCTGAAACAATCATTAAGACACATACCTTCAGGCCATGTATATTGCGGATCCCTGGGGTCTTACCGGCTGAAAAGAAAATTGACTAGATTGTGGATCACGTGAGGCCAGAGAAAAAGAACATGAGCAGAATATATTAAATGTTTAAAATGACAGAATGATTCTATCTGCATCATTGCAAAACAGACATACCGAGACACAGCTTAGGGAGCCTTTAACTAAGAATATTGCGTGTGTGAATGCGTATATATTCAGAAAGAAATTGCTTCACTAAACCAAACTGATATTTATTCCTCTCACAGAAGCCACTGAGGATAAAAGAAAGTGTGATTTTGCTAACAGAAAATGCTCATACACAAACACATGTGAGCAGGGCATTGCTGAGTATGGGGTTTTAATCTGTGATCTAGGCTCTAGGTGGGCCTCGGGCACATTTACTGTTGCAGTGTTGAACTGTAATTTGGACCAGCACACTAACACACACAATACACACCTCGTGGAAATATCTGTAAAGGCTCAGGTAACAGTCCATTGATGCGCTGCTCCATCACTGTGTTGCAATACTGCAGAGAATAAAGTGGATAAACATTTTTATTTTATTTTTTTAAAGCCCGGTTAATTTTTTCAGTATATTACACACAGAATCAATATTATGCTCAATGAAGGTCTTTTATAAAGACAAAATTCCCATGGAGTACATAAAAACAATGTTATATCAAAAAACACATTCCCTTTCTCTCAGAGTCACTTGCATTTTGGGAGAAAAAGAAAAGATGCTAAATGAATCGGGCACCCTGCTCAGGTAATCTTTTTGAAACACCAGTCAGCCTCTGTATCAATTCATCCGTTGTAATGGCTGCCAGACGCAGACCAATCACTGAGTTTTCTCATTTCAGTCTGACGTAAAAGCAATCTGCCAGTAATGGCTGCCTATTAATTAATTATACTGCATAATAGGCTGAAATGGAGTCTGGCATTTATAAACCTTATATTATATGATATTATTAATGTCATGGCAAGCTTTTTGTGTAATTATTTTTATCTTTAATTAATCCGATGATAATTTAATTTCTCTAATTATGCCATTAATAAAGAAATTGTAAAGACTTGTTTTGTAATGACACTGTACATTTACTTACATGAGACTTTGTGATATTATATATATATATATGTGTGTGTGTGTGTACATATGTATATATTAGTGCTGTCAAAAGATTAATCGTGATTAATCGCATTCAAAATAAAACAAAATTTGTTTACATAATGTGTATATTTATTTATATATAAATACACACATACTGTTTACAAGTATATATTTATATTCATATAATTTATATTATATATAAATATATTTAATATATAAACAAAATATTTCCTTAAATATATACATGCATGTGTGTGTATTTACATATGCATAATAAATATACACAGTACACACACATATATTATGTAAATAAAAACTTGTATTTTGCATGCATTAAATCGCAATTAAACATTTGACAGCACTAATACATGCACACACAAAAACATTAACTACATATTATATCATTTGTTAGTTGTTATTTATTTATAATGATTTATACTATATTTACATATATACATATTCAATATTAATTACAAATTGATCTTGCAGTTGATATGTAGTCACTTTTGCTGAATCCATTTTAAAACTTTTCAGAAACTTGTCTAATACGTGTATTTTACATGTGATATATACACGTGTATGTATATATATATATATATATATACACACACACACACAATCGTATATTTTATTTATTATCTTATATATTATTGTATAAAAATTCAATATTTTTAAGGTGATTTTGCAATTATGTCATCTATCACTTTTGCTGATTCTATTTTAAAAGAACTCTACTCTCTTTCGAACCCGTGCAGAGATTTTTGTCTCCTGCCAAAAGAACATTCAATTGATGTTTCGGTTAACAGAACCATCTGGTCGTTCGTTCTCTTCTCTCAGTCCAGCACGAGACCTTTGTGTCCAAACACAGAGCCCCCATCACACACAATAAAGCCATTAAAAACCACAGATCCAGATGGACAAGAGAGGAGGGGAGAGTGTCAGTGTTTGAAAGAAAGACAGAGACCGAGAGAAAGAGAGACAAAGGCAGAACAAGACAAAGGTCATAAGCAAGCCAAACCGAGGGGCCGGCGGTACAGCAACGTCCCTCCGCCGCGTGCGAATCCGTGATGAATACGCGCGCGCGAGGACATGCAGAGGAAGCAGTGTTAGAGCAGCTGTTATTAAATACCCTATTTATCACTGTCACCTCTCTGCACTGCCTGCAGGCACTGAAACCATGTAGCTCTACCAAAACACACACCTTTAATTTTCCACTCGGTTGCTTTATCGATTAGGGCTGCAATTACCTAACTAATCTGTACCAGTGTATTAAAAGAAACCTCCCTTTGTTGGACAATAACTAAAGGCAGTTTGATCACAGGAAGGCAGCTTGAGAGCTGGAGGGAACAGAGTCGTCGGACCTCCGCTCTGTTGGACCCCGCTCATTAACACAAGTAAAACACTCCGTAATTAGCTGGCCCAGCCTGGGAGATCAGTGCCTGTGTGCCTGTGTGTGTGTGTGTGTGTGTGTGTGTGTGTGTGCTAGCGAGGCTACATCTGACATGGGTCAGTCTTTAACTTTGAACTAACATCCTGGAAAGGCTGACGGTAAGAAGCAGCTCACCGGGGAGCCAGAACATCTCAGAGACCTCAGACTGATGATTGCTGCTGGAGTAAAAAGAAAAGCGTGAGTGAAGACAGTTTGAAGGTCAGATTCCACCAGAGAGCTCAGCGAATTAGCTTACGCACCTGTAAAGCAAGAAGTCATCTCTTAATTCCTATTAGGTCTACATAATGGTAGATCCCTACACATGGAATTAATTGAAGCAAATTTATAAAGGTCCCCACAGAGACCCCAAGAGCCACCAAGGCAAAGGGGCACACGCTTGAAATATGACTATAATGATCGGTTAAATGTAGGCGCAAGCTTTCGAACATGTTACACGCATATTAAATTCCCCCTTCTCAGCAGCTTGCGCTCTCCCCAGAGAAGCAAACGGCATCATGGGAGGAAAAACTCATTTTCAGAAAAAGTGGACTCGGTTGTGCTGTTAACCAAAATGTGACGTGGAGGCAATCTGCAACGCGCGGTAATATTCACTGTCAGAGTAATATGGCCTCAAAGAATTCTTTGGTGATGTGCGATGGCAAGTTCCTTAGGAGGAACATAAGTACATAAGCATTAATGCAGATTGTCATGAATACTTGAATACTTGCATTCCCGCAGATATCTCCAATGTCAGAATGTGCGTTTCAAAACCAGCCACACGGAGACCGCAGAATTAATCAAGACAGGAAAAAAAGTTGAATTACACTCAGGCAGTGCAGGACACCCGCGAGACATCATTGTCAGTGTGTCACCTTCTGGCCTAATCTGGCTAATGACTGCAATGGCCTTGAGAGGTACCACTTTGATAAAGCATCTAAAAATAAATAAATATCAAATCTAAGTGATTTCATTTCCTGCAGAAGCGGTGGTTTTGAAGCCCATGGCTACTCGAGAGTCATTGAGAGCTGATGGGGGGTAAAAGACAACACCAGCTGAAAGTGGATTTTGAAAAATTCCTCTACCCAGGAGGGCTATGCTTCTAATGAGGCGAAACTTTAAGTACTGAATAATAAATAATAAAAGTTGATAGTTCATTTAACTTCCACTGTACTTCACAGGGGGAAAAACTATTACGAGTCATTACGCTTGGTGTCCACAATGTGAGCAGTAAGTATTGAAAGCACTTCTACGGCGGTCTCAAAAGAAGAACGTTAAAAACAACAAACCGAAATCTGAGAGAGAGATGAAGAAGAGAGGAAACAAGATTAGGCAACAACATAGGGTTGGGCGATGTCTACCAAATTGGCATCGGACGATGTCTACAGTGAAACATCGTGATGGACGATGACATCGCGGGCGGGGGGGGGGGGGGGGGGGCCTGCAGGTCCTGAGCACCAATGACAAACATCTAATCTTGTCAAATGTGTGGTAAGTACTGCCGCTCCATAGTATAGAGTCCTTGATGTGATCGCGAATCTCGAAAGTGAAAGTGAAAGTAAAATGAGAGAGCGCAATCGAAAGCGGTTTCAATAGCGGCTCCCTGATGCCCGCAATTTATATACAGTCGCCTATACTTACCCAACGATAGAATTGCGAGAAAAAGTATTGAAATATTTTTTTATCCTCTCATCTCGTAGGCTATTTATTCCCTTTAGGGTTTCCGTAGTACACTTCATTTCCTTTCCGAACACGGAACTGGGATGCGGCGGATTGCGGGAGAGGGGGGGGTGGTGGTGGGGGGGAACACGATGTCAGCTTAACATCGAGATGTCTGTCAGTCATCGGCGATGGACAATGGCATCGTCTATCGGCCCAACCCTAATTCCCGGACTTGAAAAGAAAGTGTTTGAATAGGCAATCAGGCAAAAGTTTACGATAGCTTTTTATTAAACACGTGAGACAAATATTTTCTGCGTTTTCAATTTGTGCCTGGTCACAGGGGGAGGCCACTGCCTGAGTCAACACAAAAATAATGAATGATAAAAAATAAACAGGATTTTATTATTACAGTTTTCCCTTTGCTAATCTTGCTTGGTTACCACCTGTATAATTTAAAAGGGGCTTCGAGCCAAAGATGCACGTTGCCATGGAAACATCAAGAGGTGCAGCCAGAAAAGGGAAATAGATGAAGAAATTGAAGAGAAAAAAGAAAATAGGTAGCTACTTGTCATCCTTGCCAATCAGCAAAGTAATGAGAACACTTTCCCCAAGGGTGAATAGATCTAGAATAATAGATTTGTAATAGCTTTTCCCTTCCAACAAAAACACTCTCAGCATTCAAAAGTCTAATACAACAGACTGTAATAGAGCGCAACAGTGACCACACACTTTTCAGCAGCCTTGGTTCCGGAAGTACTTTTCTTTTATCTGTTTTCTCCATAGGCATTTCAGTACAGCATTGTGATTAAACAGTCTTATGAACCAACCAGCTCTGGGATGAGGTATTGCAATATATTGGCGATAACTGTGGTGTTTCAAAAATATTGTGTTAATACTACACACACAGTGCCAGTAACTATTACAAACTCTCTCTCTCCATGTCCCTCGAATTATATTTTGAGTGTGATTTATTGGTCAAAAAGGAGAAAACAGTTAAAAATTAATTTGACAGATAGCTTTTTCCCCAAACTTTCAATAGATGTCCAGATAAAAAAAATGTTTGGCCACAATAACCATGCACTGAAAATCTGATATTGTGACAACCCTATCACAAACTATGATTTGACAGTAAAAAAATCAGAATCAGAAAAAAAGTACAAGACTGTGAACTGTAATGAATCCCATGGTATTGCAAATGATGTTGATATATACATACACTGAACAAAATTATAAACGCAACACTTTTGTTTTTGCCCCCATTTTTCATGAGCTGAACTCAAAGATCTAAGACTTTTTCTATGTACACAAAAGGCCTATTTCTCTCAAATATTGTTCACAAATCTGTCTAAATCTGTGTTAGTGAGCACTTCTCCTTTGCCGAGATAATCCATCCACCTCACAGGTGTGGCATATCAAGATGCTGATTAGACAGCATGATTATTGCACAGGTGTGCCTTAAGGCTGATTTATACTTCTGCGTCTGACCTATGCCGTAGCTTACGCATAGACGCAGACCCATACGCCGTAGCCTGACGTGCACCTCTCCAAAAATCTAACAGCGCGTCAATTCTACGCAGACCGCAAGCGCTGTGATTGGTCTGCAAGAACCCCTCCCTCCATATGTACTTGAGTTTTGTGTGTTTGTGCACTTTAACATATTTTAATGTTACACCTTCTTATATAAAATAAAACAAAGCAAAGATCAAGTGTCTTATCATTTATTATACTACATAGCATTATACATCAGTAGTTGTCCGCAACAAACAATGTTGATCTGCCGTGGTACATGTCCTTGTGTAGATTGAAAGTATGCCATCATCTCCTGTTCCGTTGTTATCTCCTTTTTGTAGTTTTAATAATGATTTAATATTTATTTGCCGCCGTCACGGCTATAATGCTTCTCC